CTTTTTTTTTTTTTTTTTACATAATGCTGGCATAAGAGCTCATTTTATTGGAATCAGTAACTGTTCAACTAGAAGACCTGATGCTTTGTCAAAGGCTTTGCTGAAAAGGATAAAACCCAGATTTTACAGTAGTTACATGGTTCCACTTTCTACTGACCTATTCCTGAACCCTGACTCAGTCAGGCAGGGAGTTGCATTCTCCAGAGATCAAATAGAAATATGCATACTGGCATAAGAGCTCATTTTATTGGAATCAGTAACTGTTCAACTAGAAGACCTGATGCTTTGTCAAAGGCTTTGCTGAAAAGGATAAAACCCAGATTTTACAGTAGTTACATGGTTCCACTTTCTACTGACCTATTCCTGAACCCTGACTCAGTCAGGCAGGGAGTTGCATTCTCCAGAGATCAAATAGAAATATGCATAATCCATTAGATACTGTTTTTCAGTCATGTGTGGTATGACTGACAGTCCTTCACAACAATACATAATCTCAAACAGTTTTGCTTTTTAGCAGGAAGGGTTTGGACAGGTTTTTTTGTTTAGTTCTAAGAAATTGGCTAAAGTGAGACATGGACATAATTTTAATATGAAGGTAGAAGTTAGTTAAAACTAAACCCCAGGTATACCATAAGATCAAACTGAAGTATCAAGCAAAAAATTAATCTTTGTTTTTGAAGACCACTTTTCCTTACCTGAGACTGCATAGAGGAGACAAACAGGATTTTAGCACTGTTTTGTTAGCATGGGATTGAATGAAGCTTGGCTTATCCTTACTTGTACATCATGGTTTTCTGACCGAGATTTGTAAGAAAAGGCATATTCCAGCTGAAGCTTTAGCTGCATACAGGGAATTAAAGTTTCTCTCCAATATGGAAGCTTGCAAGGATTTTGACTTTGATACACTGTAAGCCTGTTGGCTTACTCTTCTCTACTCATCTATCCAGTTGCACAAATCTTGTAGAAATCTGAGCACTGTCAAAGAGGTTTTGACCCTTCTGTAACTCGATTGGACAGCTAAACTATGGATTGGACAAAACCTATGGTGAACCTAGAGAGGCAAGAGGGAAGTCACCAGATTACTTCATCAGCCCTGTTTCCTTACAATCTATGGCAGAAAGATTATAGGAACAGAGGAACTGAATTTGGAGTCTGAGGGAAAGGACAGCACACAGCACCAGGCACCTCCAAGCTTGCTAACTCCAACAATTCCTCATGCAAGGAAAAAGATACAGGGAGAGCCACTCAGAGTTGAAAAAAAAATCCAACCCCAAAAGAAATGAACTAAAAAACCCCAACCACTTCTGTCAAAAAATGCTGTACTGTTGAAATCTGAACTTTACAAAACTAGTTCAACATTGCCAAAACTTTGTTTAGAAAAAAAGCAGGGAGGCTGATGAAAGAATGGGACAGTGCTCCAACAACATAAAAGCATTCTCTTCTGTGTTGCTAAAATATTTTTTTTATCTTGAAACACAAACTTTTTGTGCTGACATATTTCTTTTTGCATGACAGAAAAATTCTGAAAATGAAAAAACTCCAAAGGAATAGAAAACCCCCACAAAACTGAACACTGACCAAATTAGCTTCCATTGCTACTCTACTGTCCAATCTCTTTTCTCTGGAAAATTTTGAAACTTCAAGCTTTGTTGCAAAATGGAACAAAGCACATTCAGAAATCACAAAATGCTTTGTGGAAAAGAACACTAACCTACTGACAGAACTATTGTTTGCAAATGCAGGTGGACTTCCAGAGAGAATTATTAGGCCCCAGACTTGTGGTGCACCACCTAGATAAGTCCACAAGGAACATCAAGAGAATCACTTCATTTCACTACTTTCTGCATTGGAAGGGAAGGGAAGGACCCAGCTTCTGTCTAAGTGTATGCTAAAGAATCACCAACTGAATCCAAAAAAAAAAGGAAGAAAAATTAATTACTGAGAAATCTTCATGTCTAGAAGTAAAGGGAGGAAGGTGCTTCTACTAAAATCCACATTAAAAAAAACAAACTAAAACCCAAAAAACCCCAAACAACCTAAAACCCCCAAAAAACTCCAAACCCACCAAAGTATGAAAAAATCACAATGCAATATTCTGTCTACCATGTTCCTGCCTGTACATTCTCTGGCCTACCCTGCACACACACTCAGAGTGAGATTCTTCTCTCATATTTATCATTATGCATGTATAAAAAGGAATTTTTGTTTAGCTTCCATCTGTAACAGTTATTTGCATGCTACCTTCCAGTTTGCGCCACTACAAAGGGCCATGGCCCAACTGCCTTTATCATTACGCATGTATAAAAAGGATTTTTTGTTTAGCTTCCATCTGTGATAGTTATTTGCATGCTACCTTCCAGTATGCACCACTACAAAGGGCCATGGCCCAACTGCATAAAACACTGCAAAGGGCTGTAACACTGCAAGACTTAGATTTCCCAGCTGTACTTATAGAAAGTATCAGCCAGGACAGTCAGCAACTTTTAGGCAATGGTTTTCAACTTACGATATCAAAAGTCTAGAAGCAGTAAGGAGTCCACAGAAGGTAAGAAAAGTCAGTCACTTCATGTGTGCCATGTACATTGGAGAGGTATTTCTAAAAAGGACTCGACAGTTAAAATAAATGCTGAACTCTACACACATTAGAGAGGTATTTCTAAAAAGGACTCAACAGTTAAAATAAATGCTGAACTCTACAGCAAGAAGTAGAAAATTGGGAATGTAAAAGAAGCCTTTCAGAATTTCAGATGTGAAATATTCCAGTTAAAGTGAAGAAAAAAACCCACAATTTTCCAACTGTTGCTCCTGCTAGTAACACAAATGTTGACTACTTCCATTTTTTAGTAACAAGAGTATATTCATATGAAGGTGGATATTTAAAAGCCAGTGTTTTCACTTTCAGCAAAGCACAGGTAGACTTAAGAATAAGAGACTAAAACTCTGTATAGGGGTTCTTTGCCTACAGCTTCTTTTGCATCAGTAAAGGGTTACAGAACAAAAGTATGGTGACCATGGTCCTTTTTAAAATTTATGTCAGGTTTATATATATATAACTATTACTTCCTTTTTCTGCAGTTGGTCATGGATAATCATTCACCAATACAGCTTCTGGGCTTTTTTTCCAAGATTATATTCAAGAGTATATTCATATGAAGGTGGATATTTAAAAGCCAGTGTTTTCCTTCCCACTGACAGAATTTGGTCATCATTGCTGATGAAACTAAGATTACATTCAAAAAAAGGCTACTGTAACTCATCCCTTGGCATCCCAGTACAGCAAGTAACAACCACCACTTCCTAAGAAAAGAACTCTCATCTTCATATTACAAAGAGCTCTCAGAGGTATGATGGATGAACAACAGCCCAAAACCTGGAGTGCTGTTCTGTCTTCAGTTGTCATGCAATCAGAATATGTTCGTCCAAGCTCCAGCTGCTGATCATACCTGGCCAGCTCTGAAAATAACATCATTCAAACAAACTGACTGCCTGAGCCAAAAATGTGTCAAATTATACAGTGACAGATGGTTAAACTGACTGCCTGAGCAAAATTGTGTCAAATTATACAGTGACAGATGGTCTTTCCCAGGTTACTCTTACCTCACGTAATTCCAGCCTCTGAGCAACAGCTTCCAAGCACTCCTGCCCTGTGCTCTCCACAGAGAGGGTGCACTCGATCACATTGCTGTCCAGCAGACGGATCCTGGTCACAAAGCAGTTCTTGCTCAAGACGTTGTAGCGTCTGGTCCGTCGCAGTTTCAGCCCGAAAGGCATGGCTGTTGGCCTGGAAGGTCACCCCTTCCCTGTACTCTTTTAGGAGTTATCAGCACACTTGTCGACTTGCCTCCAAGGCTTCTTCAATTAGCACTACTCTACTCCAGAAATGAAGGTAGCTGTCCATTCCCAGGGCAAGCTTCAAGGGATTCCTGAAAAATATATATAAATAAATAGAGTTAAGTGTGCAATAAGATGTTCCTAAAGACAAGTTGGAAAGAAAAAAGTCTTAAGTGCCACATTCAAAACCATAAACACCTTGACACACAGGATGGACAGGCACTTATTACATCTCCCAGAAGTTGTTTTTTCTTCTTAAAAAACCCAACACCTTACACAAGAAAACTTTCAAAATACGATTTTGGCCTAAATTTAAAGCAGGGATTTAGTTGCAAAGCTGTTCTTCAACCAGCAACCCTACAGGGCAGGAATCCAGAGGTGCTAACTCTCCCACCATTACCCCCACCACAGGGGTCTATAACATATTCTTCAAGTTTTGGTGCCCTCGGGCCAGTTTGAAAACTAGTTAAAAAAGCTGAAAAATAGAGACATTGAAATGAGGTGTGAGTTCGAAAGAAGAAAGG